TAGGTTCCCCCCACCCTCATGGCCTTCCTCCCGCCGGGCTCTAGAGGAAGGAAGGGGTTAAACACTTACCTTTCTCCAGCGCCGGGCTCCCTCGGCGCCGGGGACTCTCCTGTTCCTTCCGATGTCATCGGCTGAATGCGCATGTGCAGCAAGAGCCCCGCGCGCATTCAGTCAATGGACGCTGGCGTCTTCTCACTGTGAGAAGCGCAGTGAGAAGTGTGTAAGAGCCTCTAGCGGCTGTCAATGAGACAGCCACTAGAAGCTGGATTAACCCTATTGTAAACATAGCAGTTTCACATACATATACAGACACATGCCGCCACATTTATAGTCACACGCCAACATACATAGTCACATACATACATACCAAGTTATTTACTAAAGTGAGAATTGTCAGGAATTTACTAAACTGAGAATTGTCAGGAATTTAAGGACAAAATAGACGAATTGGAAGCATACCTGACTTAAATTTACTTTGGATTCCTGACAATTGTCGTTTTAGTGACACCATCACAATCATCACAGACATACAGCCTCATACATGCACAGACACACATCAATACACGTCATCATGTACACAGACAGAGCAAAAAGCAGTCACAGGAATATACACATTAACACAATTTTATATATATATATATATATATATATATATTCATATGCACACAAAAAAAACCAGTCACATACACGAAAAGACACACAAAGTCACATACATAGACACAAAATTACAAGCATAGTCGCATTCATACATAGGCACAGAATTGCAGGTTCAGAGTCGCACACATACATGGAGTGATTATGTATCGCAGGTTCATGGGTGAGTTAATTGCATTGGAGTTCAGGTGAGGGTCTATGACAGTGTAGGCAGGTGATGACCATGATGTTATAGAGTAATGCTATAGTCAGCAGCATCTTTGCCAACCACACATTGGGTGAGTTTCTCATTAAGACTGCTGCATCCACTCAATACCTTATTCTAATCTGCCTCCACTTCCATGCAGGGTCAGCCTCACTTTTGCACCCAGTCACAAAGGCTCCTCTGTCCCTGATCATCCATTGCAGGCCTATAGTGTTTTCCTGGTGGTCTGGTGGTAAATAATAGGGAATACATCATATTTCTTGGTGCACATAATAATAACTTCTCCCTAGCAGTCCAGCGCTTAATGTTGAGTGAGAGCGTAGGCTAGAAATCATGGAGGCTGCTCTCTGACTTATAACTGAGAGAGAGAGGTTATTATGGTCATCAACACCTCCTGCTGTTGGGCACCATTGGACCACCAAATAAATGTTTTCATATAATATGCCAGTCTCTGCTTGCTGTGTTGTCCGCTAGGCACCCGCATTGTCATGGCGCCCTGTGCGACCACTCAGTTTGCATAGCCCAAAGGCCATCCCTTGCTGTGCTCCATCTTAGCTGCGCCTGAGGCAAGTGCCTCACTTACCCTTCAGTTCTGCTTTAACTAAAAACAGTGATTTCTGAAAACACTAGTGTTTGGTCAAAATACCCAAGAAAATATAATGCTCAAGTTGTCCAGCAGATGGCATGATTGTACTATAACACATTTGTAGGCCTTACCTTTTGTTAAAGTAATACTGTAGATGCCTGCAAAAGAACATTTTGTTTGACCTGCAGGTTAATTATTTTTAAATCATTGTATTTGTTTTCTAAATCTGCATCTAACCTGGCTTTTACTTATTTAAACTTATTTTATTATTTAGTCAAATATGCAGTGACCACAAATGCTTTCACAGAGTAGTACTGGTTTATTCTAATATGTACAGTTCAGTGATGGCTAACTTTTTGAGCCCAAGTGCCCAAACCGCATCATGAAACCATCTTGCCAACACTGCAGGTAAACATGAAAAAACACAAGGCCAAGTTGTGTGTGGTGGGTGTTTATTTTAATTTAACTGCATTAATAAAATAAAAATAAAATAGGAAAACGTTTTGCACTTCCTGCTGCTTAACTAGGGGTGGCAGTATCATTGGACAGTGTGCCCTAAGGTGGCCGCATGTCCCTGAATGCCTGCGATATGGCAAACATTTGTCTTTAGATCGAACAGAGAGGCCTCTCTATGCAATTGTGTCATAGATTTGACATTGCTGGTATAGTGAATTTAAAACATATATGTTTGGTACTCACATCTATGTTTGGTACTCTCTGTTATTTAAACACTCACTAGAATTATATATATTGGATATGTATACATTTCATAATACATCCAATTTATATATGCTTTCTTACTTTTTATTTTTGCTGGAAATTATGAATTCCTTTAAATTGAAGAATATTTTTTTTTCTTACTGAGATTTATGGTTTGAAGGAAAATTTTATTTATTGGCACTGGTGTTCATTGGATTAGCATCTTGGGACTTTTTACTTCTTCGTGTTAACATTTTTATGATGTGAGAGTGGAGGATCTTTTAATATAATCTAATCCAAACAGCGAAATCTCAAATATAAATCTTAATTACTGTTGTCACTCCATCTAAGATCCAAACTGAACTTGTTATAAGCTGCTTATGCTACATCTTGATATCGACATGTTTGTGATAGCTATGTGAATATGGCATATAAACTATGCTATGTGGTAATTCGTGGGGGAAAGATGACTCACTTTTCTGCTTGCTCTTAAGAAGCAATCTTCTGCTAGTTTTCTAGGAAGATCTGTTCTCTGTGAAAGAATTGAGGTAAGGCATTTCTAGACTTAATCTTTTATGCTTCTTTTTATTATTATTATTATTATTAGACACGTGCAATTTGTTTCGTTCCGAATGTACATTCGGATGAATTTTGTGCAATTCGGATATTCAGATACTTCCGAATGTCTGAAGTTCGAATTGCTGAATTGCTGTAGTGCCGAATTTATGAAGTGCCGAACCAAATTGCTGAATTTCTGAAGTGCCGGAATGCTTCGGTTTTCTGAAAAGTGGCAAAATAAGAGAGGGAGGCAAAATTACGTGAATGATGACAGGTATCTTAACCAATAAGCTAATTCATGGCATGGGTGCCCTATAGATGTGTTTGTGGTGGTTAGCGTTAGGGTTAGGAAGCCCTATAGATGTGTAAGTGGTTGTGGTGATTAGGGAGCCCTACAGATGTGTAAGTGGTTGTGGTTGCAAAGTGCTTCGGATTTCTAAAAAGTAGCGCTTTACAATATTATGAGAGGGGGTATTTAACTATAAATAGGACAATTACAAGAAAACTTACAGGAATGATAGGTTGAAGAGGACCCTGCTCAAACGAGCTTACAGTCTATAGGAGGTAGGGTATAAAACACAATAGAGAAAAGAAACAATAAAGTGTGTAAGGCACTTCAAGTGTGATAATAAATGTGCGAAATTAGTAAAAAAAACGTGCTTCCCCAAACACTCAGTAGCACATAAAGCAGAATATAATATATACCAGCCAGGAAGTAAACCTGTGACACAAAAGGTAAAATGAATAAAAATACAAACGTATATACTTAGAGATGGAAACCACAGGTTACCTAAAAATAAAAAATACAAAACAACATAATGTGAACCATAAAAAAACATAAATATAAGGAGTAGGGTTGGAGTATCACTCACATGGCGCAGAGCCATCCCAGGCTCTGTATAATAGGCTCTAAAGTGCTACAAATGGCTCAACGATCCAAAATCCCCAAGGTGCAAAAACTGATGATGGATCCTCAGTTTAAAACAATTTATTAAGTAAAAATATAAATATAAACAAACAAAACAAACAAGCAGCAATACTAAAGAAATGGGTTCTAAAAATAGAGTGGTAGTGGGAGTTCATGAAGAAAGTCCCTCACCACCTATTAGTAACCCAAAACAATCTATAAAAAGAGCCTGTATAGAAGTGCAGTCAGAAGACACGTTTCGGCAATGTTGCCTTCTTCCAGTGCTGATGTTCTGGTGTATTTCCGTTGGTTATATACCGGTATCCATCATTAGTTCATTAGGTTCATCTGTATTCGATATTGTAACGAATTCATCCGCTTATAGTACTATGTTTAATGGTATTTACCGTGCTGACAGGAATAGTTGGGCCCATATACAGCTGTGCGCCCAGATATCTGATAAATCCAGCATGTCTAGGAACGCCGGCCGCTGCGGATCTATGCCACCTTATAGCCCCATGACCGCCCATGTTAAGGGTGACGTTTTGGGGTCAATGGCTGATTACAGCCAATCGGAATAACAGGAGTATTATTTAAACGTATTTGTACATTCTCTCATTGCCCTGTGGTGGTTTCTGCCTGATGGTAATCCGAGAGTTCGCTCCTGATCTTGATTTTTTGGTATTTGACTTTGGCTTTGTTCTGACCTCCCTGATTTCTGGTATCCTTGACTTTTGGCTTTTTCTCATTGCTGTGTCTGATTCTCTATCCCTGACCTCGACAAGTATTCTGACTATTCTTGGAAATGTTAAGTCCAGCCATTCTAAGGTCCGGTTAGATGTTATCCTTAGTCCTAGGTGTGATACATTTCTGCATGCGGGAAATTAGTAATCCTGACATTACGACATGGCTATAGATCCTGCAGAATTGTGGCAGCACATAGCTGCTTGCGAGAGAAAGCTAGAGGAGAATGATCACCGTATTGATCAATATGCCCAGGCTTTTAGCACACTGCTTACTCGGACGGCTTCGTCACAGCCTGAGGCTTCTCCGACTAGGCCTCCACTGCCTACTGTACCTCCACCTGCATTTTGATGGTAATATTTTTGAATGTAGGGGATTTGAGTCCTCACTTGGTTCATTTCCCACGGATTGAGCTAAGATTGGGTATTTAATGAACCAACTTAAGGGTAAGGCCTTAATATGAGCCAATCCATTATGGGAGAGTAAAAGGAGTATTTCTTATAATTACCAGGAATTCCTTGCGGAATTCAAATTAACGTTTGAACCATTAGGCAGGGAGGATGATGCCTCCACTGCCTTAATGCTTGTCAAACAAGGGAACCGGTCTATCTCAGATATGCCATCGAATTTCTCACCTTGGCTTCTGAGGTAGACTGGACTAACAACGGATTAATTGCTGCTTTTAAAAAAGGATTATCCGAGAATATACTTGACGAAATTGCTGCCAAAGATCTACCGAAAATATTAAACAAATGTATTACCTTTGTGATGAAGATTGATAATAGACTTAGGACCAGAGAAATTACTAGAAGCCGAACCAGACGTATGACCTTGTCACTAGCATCTCGATTCTCCAAACCTGTTGTCCCTGACCTCCCGGTGCAACCTGAATCCGAACCCATGCAACTAGGGGTTACGAGATTGTCAGAGGCAGAGAAACAGTATAGGAGAAGAGAGGGTCTATGCTTATATTGTGAAAAAAAGCACATATGAGAGATACTTGTCCTATACGCCCGGAAAACTTCCACACCTAAGAACCTTAAGGGGACAGATATTAGATGTGATGGATATGTCCTCTAGTAAGAACCAAAGTAGATTTCTCCTTGACACTGTCACCCTTTGCAACAAGAAAAACTTTTCATGCAAAGCCCTGGTAGACTCAGGTGCGGCAGGTAACTTTATTGACATGTATTTTGTTAAAAAACACTTTATACCTGTCAAGGAGAATCCTTAACCTCTGGCGGTTGAGGCTATAGATGGGAGATCTCTCTCTCAACCACTGATTACCTACGAGACCTTGCCTACAGTGGCGTACACATGACCCATGGGGCCCTGGTTCGAAAATTGATCCGTGGGCCCTCCTTCCCCCCACGCTTACTCTGCGCGGGCCGGGGCCGCAACAAATGGCGGCGGGCACCTGGTCGCAGGGGTTGCATGGCTGCAACCCTTGCGACCGCGGTATGTACGCCAGTGCATGCAGATGCACACACACTTAAAGGACCACTACAGACACTCAGATCACATCAACTCAAGGAAGTGGTCTGGTTTAAACCTCTAGTTTAAACCCTGCAGCTGAAAACATAGCAGTTTCAGAGACACTGAATGTCCATAGGAAAGCATTGAGTAATGCTTTTCTATGGGTTAGTTTGAATGCGCGAGCTGAAGACACACACACTCTCACGAACAGACACATAAACATACACACTAGCTAACAGACACACACATTTACTGACAGAGACACACTCAGCGACAGACATACACACACACTTACAAAACATACACTCTCATTGACAAACACACTCACTAACAGACATCAGACTCACTAACATACACACAAACACACTCAGTAACACACACACACAGTAACACACTAACACTCACTAGCAGACACACACTCAACAGACACACACTAGCAGACACACACACTCTAACACTCACACTAACACTCACACACAAACACACACACTCACTAACACACACACACTAACACTCACACATGTTTTTTTTAAAATATAATCCCCTAGCCTCCTTACCTTTTGGGGTCCAGTGGTGCTGCTGGGCTCCTGGCCCTGCAGTCACCCCACGGCCAGTCCTGCGGGCACGCGAGGGAGCACTCTCCCCTGAGTGCTTCCTCTTCAGCTCCCTCGCGTGCCGCGTAGGGATGCCGGCGCCGGAGGATGATGTCATCTTCCGGCTCCGGTATCAGTGCGGTGCGCGAGGGAGCTGAAGAGGAAGCACTCAGAGGAGAGTGCTCCCTCGCGGGCCCGCAGGACCGGCCGTGGGGTGACTGCAGGGCCAGCCTCGGGGGGCCCTGAGGTGGCCGGCTCCTGGGCCCCCCAGGGGAAGAGGCTGGCCCAGTGGGTACATCCCGGGTCGCAAGGGCGGCCGGGCCCCCTGGTGGTCCGGGCCCGGTCGCAGCCGCGACCCTGGTATGTACGCCACTGCTTGCCTATCTGTATCAGTATAGGAGCATTGCATAAAGAATTACTTACATTTCAGATAATCGCTTCCCCTTTGTGTCCCATCATATTAGTATTCCCTTGGCTCATCAAGCACAACCCTCATATTGACTGGACCAAAGGGAAAATACTGGAATGGGTGCAGACTGTCAGAAGGGTTGTAGGTCACCTCATACTAAAAGAGTGGGCATCGTTACTTTACCTACTATTACACCCAACACCCCCGAAATACCCAAGCAGTATTGGGAGGTTGGGAGCAGTGTTGGGAAGTGTTCAGTAAAAGTCAAACTGATGTTCTACTTCCACATAGATCATATGATTGTTCCATTAATCTGTTGCCCGGGGCCATGCCTCCTAAAGGGGCGGTTACAATAATCCATGCAGGAAATTACTAGAGCATGGACAAGCTCCTTGGGAGCATCTTGCGTAAGAAAGGGGCGGATGCAGGCTATGTTTTTAAGATTGAAACTACAGGATTTGGCAACATACTGGATGGGAGGCTCAAAGGTGAGGCCAGAATCAAGTATGACGCCAAGACAGTGCTCGTGCAAGGATGGACTTTTGTGGATACCACTAACTTGAAGGGAGAGCGTAAGAGGAGGATCAGTATTAGGAGGAGAAAAGGCAAGGAGCTCAATTTTAGAGAGATTGAGTTTCAGAAAGCAGATGGACATCCAGTCAGAGATGGAAGAAAGGCAAGCAGTGAAATGTGAAAGGACGGCAGGGGAAAGGTCCGGGGAGGAGAGATATATCTGGATGTCATCAGCGTACAGGTGGTAGTGGAATCCAAATGAGGTAATAAGTTTGCCAAGAGAGGCAGTATAAAGAGAATATAGAAGGGAACCAAGGACAGAGCCTTGGGGGACTCCAACCGAGACAGGATGAGGGGAGGAGGTATCATTAGAAAAGGAGACACTGAATGAGCATTTGGAGAGATAAGAGGAAAACCACGAGAGGACAGAGTCACAAAGACCAAGTAATTGAAGAGTTTGAAGAAGGAGAGCATGATCAATGGTGTCAAAGGCAACAGAGAGGTCAAGAAGAATTAGTATGGAGTAGTGGCCTTTGGATTTAGCTGTGCTTAGGTTGTTAGTAACTTTAAAAAGAACAGTCTCAGTAGAGTGGAGAGGGTGGAAGCCAGATTGAAGAGGGTCAAGGAGAGAGTTGGAGTTGAGGAAGTCAAACAAGTCTTTCCAGAAACCTTGAGGAAAAAGGGAGCAGGGTTATGGGACGATAGTTAAAGGGGGAGGACGGGTCAAGAGTAGTGATGTCGCGAACACGAAATTTTCGGTTCGTGAACGGCGAACGCGAACTTCCGCAAATGTTCGCGAACCGGCGAACCGGGCGAACCGCCATAGACTTCAATGGGCAGGCGAATTTTAAAACACACAGGAACTCTTTCTGGCCACAATAGTGATGGAAAAGTTGTTTCAAGGGGACTAACACCTGGACTGTGGCATGCCGGAGGGGGATCCATGGCAAAACTCCCATGGAAAATTACACAGTTGATGCAGAGTCTGCTCTTAATCTATAAAGGGCATAAATCACCTAACATTCCTAAATCACAATGGATATGGATTGACACCTGACATATGACATATTGACACTTTGACATATGGATTGACACCTGTCCTCAGAGCCCCTGATACACACTGACACAGAGCAGAATAGAGACTGTTCCTCCTACATAGGGTCACTTGGCAGATATGGATTGACACCTGTCCTCAGAGCCCCTGATACACACTGACACAGAGCAGAATAGAGACTATTCCTCCTACATAGGGTCACTTGGCAGATATGGATTGACACCTGTCCTCAGAGCCCCTGATACACACTGACACAGAGCAGAATAGAGACTGTTCCTCCTACATAGGGTCACTTGGCAGATATGGATTGACACCTGTCCTCAGAGACCATGATACACACTGACACAGAGCAGAATAGAGACTGTTCCTCCTACATAGGGTCACTTGGCAGATATGGATTGACACCTGTCCTCAGAGACCATGATACACACTGACACAGAGCAGAATAGAGACTGTTCCCTACATAGGGTCACTTGGCAGATATGGATTGACACCTGTCCTCAGAGATCCTGATACACACTGACACAGAGCAGAATAGAGACTGTTCCTCCTACATAGGGTCACTTGGCAGATATGGATTGACACCTGTCCTCAGAGAACATGATACACACCGACACAGAGCAGAATAGAGACTGTTCCTCCTACATAGGGTCACTTGGCAGATATGGATTGACACCTGTCCTCAGAGACCATGATACACACTGACACAGAGCAGAATAGGGACTGTTCCTCCTACATAGGGTCACTTGGCAGATATGGATTGACACCTGTCCTCAGAGACCATGATACACACTGACACAGAGCAGAATAGAGACTGTTCCCCCTACATGGGGTCACTTGGCAGATATGGATTGACACCTGTCCTCAGAGCCCCTGATACACACTGACACAGAGCAGAATAGAGACTGTTCCTCCTACATAGGGTATGTGGCTTTATAAATTGTGAGTGACCCATTAACTCCAAAATTGATCAGGATTAATTTATGTAACAGTATTATCCTATGCATGTTTTTATATTTTTTGTTATAGGCTGATCGGGAGGTGTCATAACATTAAGTATACAGTGTTTTCTGTGTATTCTTTGCACCCACCTTATATATATTTTACTCTCAGTTAAAGATGTGTGATAAGGAAGGCACAAGACAAGGGGAGAGAGATCTGATAAGGTGAGATGGGACAGGATCGAACAGGCAAGTGGTGGGAAGGGAAGAAAGGAGAAGCGCAGTCACCTCTTGTTCAGTAGCCAGGAGAAAGTCTGAAGGGTAGGATAGGCATGATCTACGTGTGGTTGAGAAAGAGAACGGCAAGGTGGAGAGAATTCTTTCCTTAGCTGTTCAATCTTGTTGGTAAAGTAGCATGCAAAGCTATGGGCTGTAAGGTTAGTTTGGGGGGTGGCCACAGCAGGGTGAAGAAGAGAAGGTGGCAAAAAGACGCCTGGGATTGCGGGAGCATGAACTAATGAGAGAGAGAAAAGGTATGACAGTTTGGCAAGGGCAAAGGCTGTGCTGTATGAACACAATATGAATCTTTAATAGAGATAGTCTGCCTGGGTGCAAGATTTCCTCCAGGAGCTTTCAGCACAATGGGACAATCTTTGCAGGTAGTGTGTTGATTTAGTATGCCACGGTTGAGGTGCATGCTGAAGGAGACTGGCTAGCATTCCATTGCTGAAAGGTTCAAGTACAACTCTGCTAACTAGTACTTTTCCATGCATTTACTTGCTGTGAACCTAAGTGTAGCAAGGTTATGCCATCATCCCATTTTCTGCAGTGACTAAGGAGTAGCAGGCTGGACATGCACATACACAGCATATGGAATGCAAGGA